ATATGGATGCAAACAACATCACTCAACTGAAACATTTTTACTTAAGCTTACTAATAATATATTTGAACTCTTTGATAAACATACACCTTTAGTACTAATGTTTCTTGATTAAAATGCTTCCTTCAACACTATTAATTAGCAAAAACTGCTTGGGTTATTAACTAGTGAAGTAGGTATAACTGACTCAGCTCACAAGTAGTTTGAATCATTTTTAGTTAACCAACCCAATTTTTAGTTAACCAACCGTACCCAAAAAGTTCAAGTTGATATCTCATATTCCACGAATCAATATATAAAATATGGAGCACTGCAAGATACATTACTGGGTCCAAAACTCTTTAATATCTACGTGAGACCACTATACAAATATCGAAATATAATCATTGTCAAGCATAATCAATGCGAAAACGTTTAGATACTAAAATGATCATTAGACTCTAAAAGCATTCCTTCCTTCATTTCAATGTCCTAGTCCTGAATATACCAAAATGTCTTGGATACATATCTAAATGGATGAGTGAATCATTCTAATTAAAAACAATATAATTCATTGTAAAGACAATGTAATATATAGCATGAAACCAAACAGTGTCTTTTCTTAATGTAAAATGCAGATACGATAATCTTCAAAAAAATTTATAACTCATCATTAAAAGTATTCTCTAGACAGATAAAAGGCCCATTTCAAATTACAATTTGTTATCATTACCTTTCCTATAAATAGTCAAACATAAAAAAATTATTTAAAAAAAGTTATTTGAATATCTATGACAAAGTGATTTTATAGAAACTATAGGTAAAGACCATTTAACCGAAAAAACGAAAATACTTGAAAAAGAAAAGTATATCTGAAATGTATAGTGACGTATATACATCTACATAAAAAAAAAACTATACAAAAACTACTTTTTAGAATACAAATCATTCTAATGTATTAACGAATCGAAAACAAAAATTATGGGACTACCTAGCTGTCAAAAAGATATTATCATAAAAACTTTTGTCTACAAAGAAATGTATTAAATTTGTTGAAACGCGAAGAGTTTAGGTGTGATACTCAACAATGAATTATCTTTAAAAACACAAATAAATGAAAATATAATAAAAAAAATATCCAAAGTAAAACAATTTTTTTCACACAAAGATTTTTTCACCATTAAATGTTCACTAATATTTTTACATCTAGATTATTGCAACTCCCTCTACTTTGGAATTAAAAAAACACTACTAAAAAAACTGTAGTCTGTTCAAAATTGTGCAGCATGACTAGTTCTTATAACCAGAATAGAAAATCGAGTAAATGACCTAGAATTTAATAATTTGCATCGGAATTTCAACAATTTGCATTGACTGAAAATTAGAAAAAGAATCTATAGCAGCATTTATTATTCTTCAAAAATCTGTTTTGACAAAGCCAAAGAAAATTTTTTTCCTGTTTCCTAACAGATATACTTAATATGTCCGCTTGTATTTTTGGAACTTTAATTAGGTTGCTGTTATTTCATATTGCTTTTGAATGGTTGACAACTTCAAAGTAGTTAGTAAAGTTTGAACATGATAAACCAAGAATGCATTGTTTCGTTAATAGACAAGATGCAACAAGAATTTGCAAGAATAGTGATTTTGTGTTCACTTCATGCTTGCTGTTTGCATTTACTATCCAAGATACACGTATATGCAAAGAACTTAGCTTATATGTTTTGCCCAATATTGATTCTTGAGGTACACCACATATAACTTTTCCTGTTTAAGATATTGTGTTTTGAAAACAAATTGTTTAAGATCTGTTAAATAAATAATCGTTTACCATCAGCGTTAGGTATTACGAACACCATAATTGTTTAGCGTGTTGATTAATATTCCGAGATTTAAAGTGTCAAATGCTTTACTTAGGTCAAGAAATACTGCCCTTACTATTTTACCTTTGTCAACTTTTCGCTTTATGTTATCTATAAACAGCGTTGCAACTAGTTTTGTTGATCGTTTACGTCAAAAACCAAACTGGTTGTCATTTATCAAACTTTTTTTTCCCTCTAAATAGTTTGATGATTGGATGTGTATAACTGGTTTGATAAATTTTGATTTAGTTGGAATTACAGATGTAGGTCGGTAGTTTTAAATGTTGTTGTGGAACTTTGATTTGTAAATTTGGAGTTTTGAGCTTTTCCAATCAGTTAGATAGGTTGATGTCTTCAAAGACAAGTTTAGCAAGTGATTAAGACAAGATGTTAGCTGCGTCTGCGTACTGATGGTGATATACCGTCTAGGTCGGTAGACTTTTTTGTTTTTAACCCAAGTAATTCTTTCTCTATTTGATCATCCGTTACCGGTATGAATTTTAAAAGACCTGTGAGTACGAGTTGGTTCCGATGTGATAAAGCCCATACACAGTCTTTTTAAAAAAAGGTATTTTTCTTTAAAATAGATACCAAATTAAAGAAATGTTCACAAAACACAGATGATATTTCTCGAAGGTTCGAAACAAGTTAATAATAAATGTTGTACTAGTCAAAGATTTAGTTTTGGAAGCGTAAATATTTTTAATTTTACGTCAGAAACTTTCTTGTTCATTTACAGATTCGTGTGGTATATTTCGATGGTAGATCTGTTTTGATAATAAAGCTTAGTTTTTTTTTATTACTCTTGTTTTTAAAAAGCCGTTTGTCAATTTCTAACTTTGATTTACAAAATTTACGGAGTAGATTGTTACGTATGTTCATATGGTATTTTACTTCCCCTGTAAACCTTGGACATGGTTTGCCTCAAATGCGTTTTTTAAATATTTGGGGCTTCTCTATCAAGACATGTTAAAATTATGTGTTTCATGCTAGTCCATGATGTGTTTACATTAATTGAAAGTAGAATTGAGGACCAATCACATTTGAGCAGCCGTGGCGCAGTGGTAACGCACTTGTCACAAAAACAAAGGATCCGTTGTTCAAATTCCACCTCTGGGCAAGTTTTGTGAAATTGATTAGGAAGGAGGCGTGAACTTCCAATTAAATACGCATCCGCGTTGCTCTCTGGTAAGACCGTAAGGACTTCTTGGGGCACTAGTAGTGTATACTGGTTTAAAAGAAAAGTTTCAGGATTATGAGTATTTGCGTGCATGCTTTTTAAGTATATAATTTTTTGCTATACTATAGTATTTGCTTTTACTTTGGTATTTAATTTTTTTTTCCTTTTGTAATATTAAAATAAGAAAAAAAGTAGATTTTCATAGTTAGAGAGGGGCATTCAGGACCTATGAATTTTCTCTTTTTGTTTGTTTGTTGTTTGTTTCTTATAAATATAAAAAGTCTATATAAAAATATTTTATATGCTGCAGTGCTGTTTTACGGTTTTTATATTTTATTATTGTGTATTATGGTATAGGTTAAGGGGCTTGGCGATAAGACAAATGTCTTCCTCTTGCCCACGCTAATTGTATTTACATATGTTTTATGTTATGAATAAATTTATATGGCAAAAAAATATATAAATAAGTAAAAAATCACATCTATAAAGCAAACTACAGAACTCCTGTTTAGTGTATTGTTTACAATTTCTACACTTTATCATTTTTGGTCTGTATTTAGTATGATTGGATTTGCGAATGCATCCAGTCAGATCATGGTCACTAAAAGAAATCGGTATTACAAAAAATTTTGATACAGGAGTTAGATTATTTGTATAAATTACGTTAATTAAGACAGAAGATGTCGCTCTTGTTACACTTTTTACTAGTTGCTTGAAACCATAGAACTGTAACATAGATTTTATTCCGAAATGATCATTTGGTTTTAAATAATTAACCGAATATGTTAATGTTTTTGTTAAAAAACCAGTTTAATCAACTCCAAAACAACTTAATTAATTTTATTTGGTTAGAAGAAAAAAAAAGATTTAGATTGCAAGAAACAAGTTTGATCAGTTGAATTATTTAGCAAGAAACAAACTTGGTCAGTTGATTTATTTAGCAAGAAACAAGCGTGGTCAGTTGATTTAGTTAGCAAGAAACAAGTTTGATCAGTTGATTTATTTAGCAAGAAACAAGCTTGGTCAGTTGATTTAGTTAGCAAGAAATAAGTTTGGTCAGTTGATTTAGTTAGCTAGAAACAAGCTTTTCTTACACTGTTTATTGTATTAAAAAAGTAACTCATGACAAAAGGTGTTGTTTAAGAGTAACTTTTTGCTCATAAGAGATGAAAATGAACAGGGGGTTACAATTCCTATTTACTTTAGTGTCTAATTTATAAATACAATTTATAATTAATGTGGATGTCAATTGTGTCATTTTATGTTTATGATAATGATGTAATACGCTTGATTGGATTGTTTTAACACTTTAGCAGCAAATTGCATTGCGGGAAACATAACAACTTGTAACTAGATTTTTTTAACTTTGATATTCTTAAATCAGCAAAAATACATATTAGTAACTTTTAGTAATATTTTAAAGATGAGCAAGTTGACTAATTAAAAATAAGAGAAATAATTAAAAATAAGAGAAATAATTAAAAATAAGAGAAATAATTAAAAATAAGAGAAGAGTTGACCTGTTAAATGGTTAACATATTATTTCAAAGCTCTTAAACAAAAACATAATTTGTTTATTTTTTTAATACTGGTTATAATAAAATTTTTTTATGAAAGACTTTAAGTTATGTCAAATTAATTTGCATTTTTTTAAAGTTTAACATTTTTATTTATTAATGGCCTGTGTTAGGAGATTATAGAGAACTAATTTTCTAATATTAAGGTTGTATTGAAGCCGAGGCCTTTGTAGTCCTGGCTTCAGTACATCCCAGCGTATATTTAAAGATTATATTGGTTAATTTTTATTTATTATGTATTTTGCCCAGTTAACCCTTTTATATATGCTACAAACTTGTTTCTTTGTTTTTGACTGAATAACTTTTTTATACAAAAAAAAAATAAATAAGTCATCAATAAATAATCAATGAAATAAGATTATTTTTCACAGTAAAATAATTTGCTATAAATATTTTTTTATCCAGGGAGAAAATCGTGTTGTGTTGTTTAACCTGGTTGGTAATTTTCTTCGTATTAAAGGTGATACGTATCACTCGATTGAATGTTTCCGAAGTGCAATGCATGCATCTAGTAGCAACCCTGATGCTTTGCTTAATTTAGCTCGTATCATGATGAACTTAAACTATTCAGCCGATGCAGTATATTTGGCTGAATACTCTTTACGTATTAATGAGCCCAATGTAAATACCTGGCTTCAACACTATGCCTTAGCTGAAATATTTGAACAAACCGGAGAGCTAGAAAAATCCTGGACCCATTTTAGCATATCAGTTGATCAGAATCCAACGTTTCCTCCAGTGTACGTAAAATTGAACAATTTAAATCAACATTCTACAATCGTAAACTTTAATATGTACACTTTAGCACTGGTGTTGCTTTTATGTATAAGCATTCTTTTATATTTTACGGTGGTATATCCAATATTTAAACTTTAATGTACTACTACAGTTTTTTTAATAGAGCTTTCCACAGTCAATATCGTTATTATTAACAAAGTAAAGACAATTTCCTTTTACTTTGATTGCACACAATCTTCCCTCACCTTCACTCAAATTGTGTGTGCACACAATTTTCACTCAACTTTGTACTCGATAAGTTTTTCCTTTTTTTTTTTTTTCACTATAAAAAAAAACTAACTGCTCTAAAACTAAGTGAAGCTGACGTACAATTTCCCAGCGTGTTTTTTGACGTACAATTGACGTACATTTTCCAGCGTGTACAACAATTAAAAAAAAAAAGTTCCTAATTTTAGATTATTTTAGAAATTGCAAATATAACAACATTTTAGATGAAACTAAAGTAGCAGTATGAAGTATTCATCAAGTCCATTACTATTAGCATTGCAAGGGATATCAATTAAAGGTTTCACAACAAAATAGAAAATTTAAAATAATAAAAGGTTTGTTTTATTTTTGTGAACTTACATACTAAAAAATGAGTTTAAAGCTTAATAAAAAAAATCCAAAACTTTTTAAACATTAGGATAAGGATCGCTTCTTCTTAATATATAAAAAAAAATAATAAAAAGACATGAAAGTTTATACTCTTTTCTAACAAAAGAAATAGAAACTTAATGTATAATTTATTATTAACAATTTTTATCATAATTTATTAAATGATAATCATTACAAAATTTATCTAATGTGAAAAAGGTTTTTTAAAAAATAGTTCTTTTTTTACCTTATAGGCAATAGATTGTTACCAAAAATAAGAGAAATACCACGTGTGAAACTAGCTAAGTGGTTGAAATATTCTTCTTGAATATTACTCATCGTAAAAGTTTGGAAAGTTTGCTAAAACAACACATTAAATGGTGTCAAGTACTACTTGAAATGTAAAGTAATAATGCAGAGATCTGTCAAACCGACAACAACACAAAGAAGAAAATAAAAAAAATAGTCATGACCTGCTCGCAAAATCTCAAAAAAAATTCCTTCGTCAACAATTTTTCAAGTTCCTTTCTGTAATATTCGTTCTGATCATGCTTACAAACTGGAAAACAAAGTTATGCAGGTAACAGGAGGGCGACCGGTCTTACACAAAATCCGACGTGCTTATACATTTTATGTCTTATTGCTCACGTTTTAAAATCCATATCAAAAGTCTTTGGTGAAAAAAATAATATTGGATTACAATTTCGCAAATAACATTACCAACAAATGAGTTCTACAAGCGATAGAATTTCATCCATTGAAAACAAAGTTATAAATGCATTTGATACATTTGGCATTAACTTCAACAAAAATAAGTTTTTAATCTTGTCAAAAGCCATCATAGCAAAATGAGCAGCAGATTAGAATTAGATAGAATAGTATAATTATTACGTACAAGAAGGAAGGGGTCCTAAAACAGTAGTTTTACTGCGTACATACTTTATGGATAGCCCCTTATATTATAGTTAATATTTTATGCTGCGTTTTTTGAAACAACTATAAACTTCTAAATTAAAATTGAACTAATAAATGTCTTGATTAGAATTGGTAGTATTGTTGCCGGGTTTACAAGCTATTTCATATTCCTATAAAAAATATAGCTACCTGTCTTTACTTGTTGCTACTACCTAGAAAAAAACCCTTGACAGATTCAATAAGTTCTTTGCCGAAAAAATGTTCTTTAAGAACGTAGTAAAACCTAGAGCTCTACGGGGAAGCTTTTTCTTCTTTAAACAAGTAGTAGAGATTGTCTAAAACTTTGATTTTAGATATTCTATATATACTATATATAGAATATATATTTATTATATGAGCTATAGAAGTATACAAAAAACGGTTACTTTACTTAGATTTTTGTCGTGATTACTTCTTGATAGTTCAAACAGTTGTTCAAAACTTTTCCTAGCTACTTTAAGAGAGTATTTCACTCCAATCACAGCGTTCAATGCAAAAACTACATTTTCAAATTTTTCTTTTTTAACGCCATTTTGTTTATACCACAAAGACTATTATTAAACTACTTAAAACCATTTTTGTTTTGGTTCTTTTTCCAGCAAGTCTATCTTACCTTTTAAGGAGATAAAAAAATTGATAGCATTAAGCCAAAAAAAAATACACTTTAAGTTAAACTTTCAATTTGTTTTTTCAAAAATCCTGCTAGTAATTGATTCGCAGACGTTGCGTAGTGGTTAGTTTAAACCTCGTTTTATTTGAAAAAAAATTATAAATAAAAACACATTAACTATTTTTCAGTATAAAAGCGTAATTACTCTTAAATATGTACTATGTACAGAGTAAGTATTAAGAAAGTATTTTAATCGAATATCGTTGATTAAAAAATAAAAATTTAGCAGTATATTATTGTTGTTAGTATATAAAAATAAGATAAAAAACTCTGTTCTTTTGTCAGGAGTCTTTTTGCGCGATTTGTCCAACTTAACACTAAGCAATTTTAAATTATTAAAGATTACATACTTTTTTATTACCATCTTTTTTATTCTGAATATTAAGTTACTTTGTAGGAATAGGAACTTAATAGGAATTAATGTTCGAACGTATTTGTTGCTGCTAATCTGATTATATTTACATTTGACCACGCGTTTGCTATGACCATGAATTTTTAACTTTTAATATAAATATTAATGAATTGATACGCAAACATCTTCGCAGCGCTCTTTTTGATGTTTACATAAAAAAAAGCATAGATCTTTTATGGTGCCAATTTTAAAGTCACATCGCGGATGGGCGCACTCGTGATACTCGAGCGGAACTGAACACTTTTTTTCACATTTCATGCTACCACGTCGTTTACCAGATTTTGTGTTTTCTTTTTCTGGTTCATATCCTGCTTCATTTTTAATCACGTGGTTTTCAGCTTCGGTTATAACTTTAAGTTCACCAGAACCAGAGCCAGATTCATCAATGTCTTCATCGGCTGTATTTAACTCGTCGTTATTTCCTGATCTTCTGAGTGGCACGTTTAAAAGAGGAAACTCAATTTTTGCTCTTTTTTCTGTTGACATCATTTCAGGTTCAGGAATTATTACTTTCTCCAAATGAGGAATTTCTCCTTTTTTATAGTCTGTTTTACTGTTTTTTATAAGGTTTTCGTGCTCGGGAAGCATTTCTCCTTCCGACATAATTTGCTTCCATTTTTTTTCTCTTTCAGCAAAGTCAGTCGATTCTTTGATATCATCAACGTTGCTCTCTATTGGTACTTTTGATTTTTTATTAAAAGAATGTTGCGATAGTTTATTTATAATAGTTGATTTATGTGATTTTGATAACAGAACTAACGATAAAGAAGCTGACCAGAAAATATATTTTATTAAAATCATCTAAAAAAAACATTTTATCTACATTTTGTAATAAAATGTCGTATAAATAAAATTAAATACATAATATAAACGATTATTATTTTACTCTTTATTATGGTTTATATAATTATAATTATATTATTAGTTTTATAACTATAATTTATATATGACAAAATCTTTTCAATTGAAAAACACAAATTAAAATGTTTTTTGCAATAAAACTAAGCAATATTCATATTTAAAATAAAACTCGGTTTTACTTTTAAATTACACTTGGTTTACTTTTAAAATAAAATTTGGTTTTAACTATTTTACTATTGAGATTGATTTTAAACCAAACGTTATTCGTTGATCAGGTATTGCGGCAGCTTTTTTTAATCTTTGAGGTGGCTTTCATACTTTCATACTTATCAAATGGAAAAGCTTTGCAAACAATTGATGTAACTGATGATGATGAATAATTATTAATATTTTAGTGTTTTAAAGTTATGAGGGTGGAAACTCAGTAACTTACTTCTTAAATCCCACATTTGGGGTTCAAGAAGGATGAAAAAGTTTTAGTATGTTATTTTTCCGAGGCTCCAACTTTTTTATTTTTTTTGTAAAGTATCTTTATTTGATATAAACATGAACATACTCAAAGTTGAAACTTGCTCCATGGCTAAAATTTAACTTTTCCAATAAAAAAAAAGCTGCTGTAATCCCGGTTAATTTTATGCAAAAATTATCATTGAATAAATTATATTGAAACCAAAGTCTTAGGCTGCGGATTGTTGATTTTATGGAAAAATTATCAATGGATAAGTTATATTTAAAACTAAGTCTTAGGAAACGGATAGCTGCGGAGAAAACTTTTGACGCTGTTCCTTACAAACTTAATTTTTTTGATTGTTTTTTCTTAAAACTATTAAAATCATGATAGAGCAAGATAATTATATTGATGCAACCTGTAAACTACATTAAACAATTAAAATAAAAGTAGCCAATAAAAACCATTTAAATAAAAAGCTAACTTACTTAAGTATATAATGTTCTTTTACTTTCATATAATTTTTATACATTTACAAATTAAATTGCTTTAAGTATAAAAATGGACAGCACAAACACTTTTAAATCAAAATCACCTTTCTGAATTCAAATCTAAAGCCATCCAAAATGTTAATTAAATTGATCGAGACTAAGTGATTTATTTGTTTATATATTTTAAGCCTTTAATAGATTCTAACAATAAGATCCAACTTTTTTTTATTAAATATAAAATTAGGGATCTTCTTTAAATATATGTATTCAATTTATAACACAATTTTCTGTTACTTTTTATTGTTGTTTACGTGATGTATAAAAGTTTTAAACTTGTAAAAGGTTCTGATAATGAGATCATTATGATCGTCTTACAGAAACCTTGTTTGTTTGTTTTTGTAAACAACGACAAATATAAACAAGCAGAAAAAATATATATTAAAAAAAGATATATAAAAATAACAAAGACTTGTGACCAGCTATAATAACTGTGACCAACTGTAATAGCTGTTTTAAGTCAATTTTTTTCAACAGTGTTCAAGTGTTCAATAGTAGAAGGACCAAGTAAAATTATCATCTGATAATATGAATACGCTAATTTAATATTATTATTATTAGTCGAGTTACGTCATTTTCTAGGCTTTTCTATTTTAAAGTAGTTTCTAGACTTTTCTATAGGCGGTTTTTTATTTTAATTTTATTTACTAACAACGCGTATTACGGGTTGCTTATTGCTAGTTAGAATAAATAATGTATTGGTAAAAGTCTTTCTTAGGGTTTTGAATGAAAATTTATTTATGGCGTCCACTTGTAACTTGACGCGATTGCGATCATTAAAAACGTCGAATTTCAACATGACGCGTTTAATGATTAGCTATTGCAATAAGTTGAAAGTCGACGTCATAAACTAATTACCTTTTGAAACTTCAACAAAGAATTTTACCAAATACAGTAACTATTCTAAGGATAATCCAGTTCTTCTACAGTTGAGCACTTGATATTGATAAAAACTGACTTAAATCTATTACAGTGGATCGCTTTTTTCATCATTAGCACGAAATGCTAGTTTATAAGTTACATAGATTCTATCAATTTAGTTAACATTTTAGTTATAAAGTTTGAACCCCTCTCAATTATTGGAGGTTAAAGGTTTGATGCGGTCATAATTTTTGAACGTTACGAGAATACTTGAAAAAGTTTAAAAATTTTTTTTTTATTAACTTGTTGCTTTCATGTTTGGGACTGTTGGAAAGGGGGGTAAAAAGGACCTAAAACAAATTTTTCTCGCGATAATATTAATACAGCGTATAAAAGTAAAGATGAATGTCATCAATATGGAATTTAACAATGTCTAAACTGATTAGCCAAAGAACTCATAAGACCGTAATTGCATTGAGCATGTGTAGACAAGACCTTAGAAAACCTTTTTTTTTAATTTCCAGACCTCAAATCCGTCAACAACTTTTCACAAGAGTTCAAAAAGAATGGGCTTCTACCACCCAGGAAGAATACTCTTCCCTTATTGAAAGTTATCGCGCCAGAATGTTCTGGGAAAAATTGGTGAAATAACTCATAACTGGTCAGTAACATTGTTCTAAAGATTTTTCACAAAATCTTTAGAAGAAAAATCTTAATCTTAATTACAGTCAATTAAGAAATTAATTGTACAGACGTATATATATATATATATATATATATATATATATATATATATATATACATATATATATATATATATATATATATATATATATATATATATAATATATATATATATATATATATATATATATATATATAATTATAATAAAATAACCATTATAAATATATATATATATATATATATATATATTATAAATATATATATATATTTATATTATAAATATTATAAATATTTATAATATTATAAATATATTAACATAAATATTTATAATATTATAACATATATTAACAAAAATATTTATAATATTATAAATATTTATAACATTATAAATATATATATATATATATATATATATATATATATATATATATATATATAATTATATATATATATATATATATATAATATATATAATTATAATAAAATAACCATTATAAAAAATTCATAATTTATTTTTATTTTTAAACGTATATTTGATCGAGTGTATTTTTCTCGTTAAAGAAAAAAAAATTAAAAACAGACAAACAAAAAAAATATATATATATAATGAAAAAGTCAAAAACCACAGAACAAAAAACGGTAAATTTTACTTGATACCGCGTAATTCTACCAAAAATATTTAGACACATGTTTATACATTTTGGCATTGAGTCTATTAAGTTCTCTAAAATATGTTTGGGAACGTTTCCAACTATTGTTGGTAAAATATTGTCCAACTCTTTAAGGTGATTTCTTGGCATTATCTTAACCAACTCCAAAAATTTTTAATGCAATTTAGATCTGGGCTATTTGGCGACCAAGTTTGATGTTCAATATTTTTGTCTTCGAACCACTTAGAGGCGGAACGCTTTGCTCAAGTGCATCAATTGATGGTAACAAGTTGTTATTTAAAATATCGACGTAAGATGAGTCTACCATTAAATAATTTAAACATACCGAGACCATATTATGTTATGCTGCACCATATTCCAACCCGCGACCTGGTTTTATATTTTGAACGATACTATTGAGATTATATTTTTCTGAAGACTGCCTACAAATCATAATTCGGCTTTTTTGGTTGTCAACCTCGATATTCATCTCATCACTGAACATTACTATCCTTCATTTTTCTTTAGACCATTCTTTGACGCTTTTGCGAAGTTCTTTTTGCTTTTTTATATGTTGCTTGGTAAGTCGCGGTTTTTGAACAGCTTTTTTCGATAACATAATGTTAGTTATTAGTTTCCTACGTACAAGTGATGCCGATGCTTGACGACCAGTTGAAAGTTTCCATTCCCTTTTTAATTCATGCGACGGCATAGTTTGATTTTTCTTTGCTGACCTTTGGCTGTATTCTCATCTCTCCGTTAAGCTTAACGGAGCGTTTGTCAAAAAGTTCTTTTTAACTACATTAATAAAAAAAAATCTTTAAAAATTTAGTTTTTTAATAAAATTGTTTTATTTTAGTATTAGTTTTATTTAAAAAAATTTAAATAAAGTTTTTGTCATTTCTTTACCTAAAAATGTTGTAATGAAATTTTTGACAAACGCTCCGTTAAGCTTAAAGGAGAGATGAGAATACGGCTGCTGATTAAAAGGCGATTGAGTGTAGTCAAACGCAGTCATCCAGAACGATGGCGATTAACATAAGATTTCTTCTCTTTGAATTGTTTGATGATTGTTACCATCGAACTATGTGATCACTTTATTATTTTGTCAATTTAACAAGCGGTTTAACATTCCTGGTGTAAATGCACCATTTTTACACAATCTTCATAGGTAATAGCTTTTCTGCTGATTTTTTCAAAAGAAAAAAAGATTTTTGTTTGTTTGAAACTAAATATTTTTTGGTTATTTGGTAATGACTAAGGTCATAAATAAAATATTTAAACAAAAAAGGTAAAAATAAATTTAAAGACGTTTCCGCCGCATTTAGCACTAAAAATTTTTGAGCTTCTAAACTTTTTCACAAAAAAAAAATGAAAAAAAAAAAAAATAATAATAATATTTAATCTTTATTTTATAGGTTCTATTAATTAATTTTCAAAAATAAAAATTACCTTCTTTTTTCTCATTTTCTAATTAATATGTTTGTAAAAAAAAGACTGTTTTAATATCTTTAGAATTAAAATTAAATAATTTTATTAAAAAAATTTTTTATTGGTTAGTGGCTCTTGACTTTTTCACAATATATATATATATATATATATATATATATATATATATATATATATATATATATATATATATATATATATATATATATATATATATATATATATATATATATATATATATATATATATATATATATATATATATATATATATATATATATATATATATATATATATATATATATATATATATAATATATATATATATATATATATATATATATATATATATATATATATATATATATATATATATATATATATATATATATATATATATATATATATATATATGTAAATCGTTGAATATAGTAATGTATTAAAATAATACAACAATGCAAACTTTGTAGAAGATAGCTCAATGTAATAAAACTTATTTTTGTTAATTAATGATTTCAATACAGGGTGATTTATATTTTGATGGGTCCTAAAAACAGGGGTCCTAAAAACTTAAAGTTTTAAAAATTAAACTTTCAACAAAACTTGCAATAAAGTATTTTTTTATTTTCGTAACTTTTTTGTTAACGAAAAAAAAGTTTTGCGGAAATAAAATTACTTACAATTATAATAATTTGGTGAAATGACGAAAATTAACTTTTGTTATATAAATTTATTAATTTAGTAACCATTAAACTGGTGTTTATAAAAAAATTGAAACCCGTCAAAAATGTTGGGTCCAAAAGGAACCTTATGAACTCTCTTTAAAAAAAAAGTAAGGTAATTTATTTACTAAAAGACCACGATTCGCTACTCAGGCAAATATGACCCAGAGAATCAGTGCTACATAAAAAAAGAATGAAATTTAACGTCAAACTATGTGCCTTGACAATCTTAAAAATTTCCAATTTAATAATGTAAAGTAAGATATTTGTGCGCTGAAAAAAATACATAAAAATATTTTACACTAATTAAAGCTAAGATGCTATTGAAAATAATAATACAAATATATACAAAGCCTAAGTTGGATTAAACGCCTAAGGTGGAATGAGGTATTCGGATTTTTAAAATCAAAATTTAAAATCAAAATAAATCACCGTGTTTTCACATCTCATTTGAGTATAATAAGTAAATTTTCTTTATATTTTTAAAATTCTTCTTTCGGTCGACACAGCCAAATAAACAAAAACAAACGTTTAAAACTCTGTTTTTAAGGTTAAGTATAAAAAACTTTAAAAAACTCTGCTGTAACAAACAGTGTTTAGCAATAAATTCCAGCAAATTATTTTGTTTCTAATGAAATCAACAGAGAAAATGAAGGATTTACGTTTAAACTCATCATAAAAAGTGAAGCAGCTGCTGAACCGTGACTTGCATGTCGCTAATTACTTCAAACAACCCAGCCAATTGCATGCTTCAATGAACACAATGAACGTGGCACCCAGGCTTTTTAAAAGTAACAATACATTAAAAACATTTTATTCATGTTATTTTAAAAATACTTTTATGCCATAATCAAAAGTCCTCAATTAAAATCATGTTTAGTTTTAAAAATGGAGTTAAATTTTAACTTGTCCTTCCCATAAAATATAATCTGTTTTTGTTTTTAAACACTATAAATGCTAAGTTAATAAAATAAGGAATTCACAATATTAAAATAAAAATATTTTTTACAATAATTAAAATCTTATTATCGTTATAACATATTTTATCCTTTTTTTTATCTGAAACTTAATACTTTCAACTCAATCAATCTTAAGGTAATATAAGTATAAGGAAATATTAGATATACATAAAAGATTGTTATATTTTGCATGAAAAAAAGAGATTTTTATAATAACGTACCCTTCTTTTTTTTTGAAAACTGTCAATAAGATTATATGGTTGATAGAAAAATATATATATATATAAAAAAAATTCAAAATTATCCATTTATTCTTCTCCCATGAATTTTTTGATTTGCAATATATATAAAATTTGCGCAACATAAAATTTAAATTGATTCATAAGTACCCAGTTTGCACGGACGTAAAAAAGACGTCTTTTAAACGTCTTACATACGTTTTGGACGTTTTTTGAACGTCTTTTGAACGTTTTAGACGTCTTTTGAATGTTCAAAAGACGTCTTTTTTAGGTCCGGTACCCACTGGGTAAGTCAGAAAAATATTCAGACAGGTAACAATTTTATAAATTCTATGAAGAAAATATTAGGAAATTTTTTGAAATCTTTTAAATTGTCATCTATTTTCAAACTCATGAGTAAAGCTTTAAAAATGTTTCAATTTTTCCGTACGGTTATTCTACGCAATATCCAATGTTTGTTTTTTCGGAAATAGTTCACTTATTATGTTATCATCGCAAATTTTTTAATGGGTTTTGATTATCAAGTGACAAACAATTTTAAAACTCGTTGATCAGCAAAACGGTTGAAAATTAAAAATTTTTGTAAATCGAAAAGACGCTCTTACTCATTTAATTAAAAGTTTCAATTTTTTTTTGTACATTGACATTGCTGCACGTAATATTTCATATACTAAAATTTGGCTAAATTTTATGTTATTTTCACGTGATAACATATTTTTATAACTTTTAAACATTTAAAATTTTAATTTTAATTTTGTTTTTGAGGATTAAACATTTGTTTAATCTTCAAAAACAAAAACAAAAAAAATACAGTAAAAAGTAATTTACAGGTAACCCTTATTTTACATTATTTATCCGACTCTAGGTTTCAGCTTTACCAGTTCAGATAGGAGATATCATTTACCATGTGGCACAGAATGTTCTTAAGAAATCCAAAGAATGTCCTACGTTTTCTGACTACCAAAAGAATGTTTGATCTTTATTGTAGTAACTGCCAACAAATATTTCAATCAAACTAATATTTCTTTATGGGCAGTTATTGGTCACACTAAGCTTGCAAACTATCTGAATAAAATGGTTGTATAAGTTTAACGGTAAATCACTTGAACAATACCATTTTAGAATATAATTGGTGTGACCTGTGAGTATAAAAAATGACAAGCACTCCTTTGTAGGTCATCTAATTTAATATATTAAATTTTAGGAGATACTTAATGATGAAATTATTGCATCTAATTTCAGATTGTGATCACCTAACAATTTTAGAAGATAAATACCAAGTGTAGTAATACTCATGCTTTTATGAAATGAGTTTCCAACTTCATGATCCTTATCTATTTAAATTGTTTTAGCAATTCGCGAGGTTAGAATTATTTTGTTCTATCTCCACAAATCAAAAAAATTGAGTTAGATTATTTTTTTTGCTTTTTATAGATAAAATATTTATTTTTTACAAAAAAATCAGTAAAAAAAAAAAAAAATTAACATACTATAGGTATACCTGACATTGCATTTTGTTCTATCTCCTTAATCCTGTTTATAAATTAAAATTATGTGTTATCTCCATTTTATCCAATCAAAAGTTATTTACGTCAAAATGGCAGCTGCGGAAGTTTTTATTACAGAAAAACAACAACAAAATTTTGAAGGTAAAATATGTTATTGTTCACATTATATATGTATATATATGTATATAAATATAAATATAAATATAAATAAATATATATATATATATATATATATATATATATATATATACATATATATATATATATATATATATATATATATATATATATATATATATATATATATATATATATATATATATATATATATATATATATATATATATATATATATATATATATGTATACTTTTTTTGTTTTTGTTTCAGAAACTGATCTGACTGTTCTTGGCTATCATAATGATACACCTGAAATAACAACAGCTCGTCGTCTGCCCCCACATGAAAAACTAGGAAACGAAATTCAGCACCTAAAACTTGGGCACAGAATAAGAGAAAGCAGCTAAGACAATCTGATCAGCCGTATAAAAATAGAAAGGGAGAAAATGTTCAATGCAAGTCTGTAACCAAAAAGAAAGAATGTCTAAATTCTTGTAAATTCAGATGCGCACAAAATATAAGTGATGAAGAAAGAACACGTATATTTGCTGATTTTTGGTCTATGGACGACATGCAAAAGAGACATTTCTACAGTCGAACCACTGAACGACTTCAGAAGAAACGTCATCGAACCATCAATGAAAATTCGCGAAAAGCGTATTCATTTTATTATAGCTTTTTTGTTGGTGATTTGCAAACTCGAGTTTGTATAGAATTTTACCTTAAAACTTTAAATATAAGTAGTAGAAGAGTTTATTATCATCATGAAAAAAAAAATGATACTACTGGAAGCCCATCCCTTTCAAAATGGGGGAAACACACCAAAAAGGTTATAGATCAATCATCAAAACAAAGCGTTACAGATCATATCAATGCATTTCCACGTGTTCCATCACACTACTGTCGTCAAAGAACAGAAAAAGAATATTTTGAAGCTTTTTTTCTAATAAGATGTATGAACTTTACTAAACCTATTGTGAAGAAAAGAATATTGCCCCTGTTAAGAAGCATTTGTATAGATTCATATTTGATTATCACTTTAACATTGAATTTCAGAAGCCAAAAACTGATTTATGTGATACATGCTATGAATACAATCTAGTAAATCCAACTGAGGAACAAACCCAAAAGTTTACCAAACACATTATTTCTAAGAATGAAACTAAAGCAGAACGAGATGAAGACCGCAAGATTATAGATAAAAATGTGGCTGTAGTATGTATTGACCTTGAAAATGTAATAAGTTTACCAAAATCAAATGTGGGAGCATTTTTTTACAAACGAAAACTTTCAGCTTATAATTTAATTGGGCATTGCTCCATAAATAAAAAAGGTTATTGTAAGCTTTGGCATGAAGGTGTTTTGGGTCGTGCAGGCAATGACCTTGCAAGTAGTGTAACATGCTTGCTAGAAAAGATAATTGCAGACCACTCTGTTGTTAATAAACTCATACTATGGTTCGATTCCTGTGTGCCTCAAAACAGAAATAGTCACATGTCCATTGCCTTGCGTCAGTTTTTGATATGTTACCCAAAAATTAGAGTAATTGAGCAAAAGTTTTGTTAACCAGGACATTCTAGTATACCAGAGGTTGACAATATCCACAGTCAAATTGACAGAGCACTTGCTCTTCTTGAAATATTTAGTCCTTTAGGTTTAACCAGAGCAATTTCTGCTGTTCAAAGAAGAAATTCTTTTTTTGTCTGATGAAATGAAAAGATTGGATTTCAAACATTTTTCAGCTATTGCAAGCTATTTCAATTTTAAGCTTGTTCCCTATAGCCAGAAAAAGCATCTGGTTTACAGAGCAGAGTTTTCAGATCATGTATATTACAGAAAGTCGTTTTCAGATGTTTGTTCAGAAGCACAAATTAGGCGTCTTCCTAACAATTCGCACTCTTTATCATCTGTGATAACAAGACCTCTGGCAGTTGTACCAATGGCTTCTGCCTTGAATGAGTGTGCTCAAATTTCAAGTGATAAAGCCAAGGACCTTAAAAGTATGTTCAAGTATATGTCTGCTGTAGACGTTGCATTTTATAAAAGTATTTTAAAATAATTTGTTTTATTGTCAAAATATTTGTATTATATGTTATGTTGTTAAATGGACTTCTTTCTGAAATGTTATATTTTTAATGGATTAACCAGATATGCTTGATTTGCCTAATTTGAGATATCATTTTACTGTGCAATGTACTTTAGATGTTATGTTATTGGAATTTATAACTTAAGTTTTATTTCATTGTAAAGATCTTAAGATAATATATTATTTATCTTCTCTGTTTTGACAAAATAACATATTTATGTAGTTTGTTCAGTTGTGTAAAATAATTTTTTTTTTCAAATAAAGCAAATATGTACCTTAGAGTACTTTTATTGCCAAAATATAAATTCATCTTGCAACAATATATTAATTTGTAATATGTTTTTTTACACAAAATGGAGATAGAACAAAATAATACTGTATTTTACAAAAAAAGTGTGTATTACATCTCCAAATCAAGGTGTAGTAAATAAGACACCTGCAATTTAAATATTTTAAAACAAATTCTTTTAAACTGTGGTAGCCTATATGGGAAATTGATAAAAATCGGTTTTGTTTGCGTTTTTTATGTTATTTGGTCTGCAGGTTCATTTAAAACTTTGAATTTAATTTTCTCAATTCGGAAAAACATGGAGATAGAACAAAACAATTCTAACCTCGCGAATTGTAAATGCTTTTTAATTTATTGAGAACGGCTTTTTTTAAGGAAAATTTTTTTTTTTAAGGAACGAATTTTTTTCGAATTTTGGAAAAAAAAAA